AAAAAAAAAAAAAGAGCACAGATTTTGAAATCAGATCCTCCTTGGCTCAAATTTTGATCCTTTAATAGCTGTGTGATTTGGGGCAAGTTATTTAATGTTTCTGGGCTTCAGCTTCCTAGTCTATAAATAAGGATAAAAACACCCATTTTATAGGATGGAGAGCTAAGTCATGTAAAAAGCTCAGCGTGGTGTCTGACCATGTTAGATTCACAATGAAAATGGCCACTGTTGAGGCAAAGGAAAAAACTCCACTGTTGCCCTCTGAAGGTTTGCTGAAAATTCGACTCACAGAAGGCAGATTAAGTGGAGAAAGAACATGCAAATTTTTTATTAGCGTTTACATGAACATGGGAGCCTTTAGGGTGAAGACCCAACCCTCCAGTGGGGTGCAGAGGCTTACGTATTCTACTTCTTTTTTTTCTCCAACTTGCTTCAAAGGAATATACCCTTTTTCTCAGGGGCCAGGGAGATGGGGAAGTGTGGATGATTTTAGAGGGTAGCAAATAATGTTTATGGGAATTCAACGGACTTGAAGAACATACAATGGCCTGGGGCAGAGCTTGCTGGGCCTACAGAATGGACAATGATTTGTGACAAAAGTCCATCTAGGTTTGTGGGCAGACACTAGTCTTTTTTCCTATAATATTGATTCAGTTAATGAAAACTCAGGGAAGGAGCTAAAGGTAATTGCTTTCTTCTTTGGTTGGTGCAGACTTTAGGCAGATAAGGGAGCTTCAGAGAATAGCTTCCTCCTATGCTTTGGGAGAGATGGGTTGGGATGGGGAGGTCAGAGAGATCTTGAGGCTCCTTTCTCAGTTCAGCTTGTACAAATGGACATATTTTGGGGTACCGGTTTTTGAGCCCCAATACTACTCTTAAGTGTTTTCTTTGGGTACTAATTGTCCTAGCTTTTTTTAAAAAAACAAAAAAGATCTGTTATAATTTGAAAACTGCAGATGATGAATACATTTTAGCTAGAAACTTTGAAAAATTGGATGTATTGAATAAGGCCTTCAATCTGTTTTATATTTTTTTTGTTTATTTTTTAACCTTTATTTTTAGAGACAGGGTCTTGCAATGTTGCCCAGGCTGGAGTACAGTAGCTATTCACAGGTGCAATCCCATTAGTCATCAGCACAGGAGCTTTGATCTGCTCAGTTTCCGACCTGGACTGGTTTACTCCTCCTTAGGCAGCCTGGTGGCCCCCACTTCACTTAGTGTAGACACCTAATGGTCACAGTGCACTACAGCCCAGAGCTTCTGGGCTCCGGCACTGTTCCCATCTCAGCCTCTCCAGTAGCTGCGACTGCAGGCATGCGCCGCCGCACCCAGTTGTATTCTTATTTTTAATGATCAAAATCATAGAACAAATGTTTACTCTCAAATCCAATTCAGTGATAGCCTTGTATAGTACTTGACATAGAGTTAAGTCGTCACAGTGTCTGGTTTTTAGCTCTCGTCCTCTTAGATGACATAAACGCAGACAGTCATGGAAGGGCTGCCCAGCCCACGCTCCCACCTGTGAGCCTCTACATAAGCTCTGCCAAGGTTTACCTTCCTGCTCCAGACTGATTTCTCCATAGAGGTCCTTGCCTCCTGCTTTGCTGGAAAATCAGAAGCACGAGGCAGGAACTGCTCAACTTCCCACTGCCGAATCTCAAGTCTCCTGAATCCAGCTTCCCACTTTGCCCTTCCCCTTGTCCAGGTGGAGCAGTCCCTCAAGGCCAGCCCCACCCCCCACACCCTTTCACCTCTCCCCGCTTGCCTTCTCAGGACACGCACTAACCATCACTCCAGACCACTCTGTATTTTCAAACTATTTTTTCCTGGATTCCTCCAATTGACTTCGGACCATGTTCAAAATTCACTAAAGAAAATGAAGATCCTTTTTTTCCACCACTATTAATTAGGAAGCAGTTCTGACTGCTATAAAGACCCCAAATAATCAAATCCACTTAAAAAACTTAAACAAGATGAAAGTTACTTATCTCTCACATAAGCTGGCAGAGCAGCACCTTAGTGGCAGGAACCTCAGCTTCTTAAGGGTCCTCACCCCACCATTCCTAGGGGTGGCCTTCCCCACACAGTTCACAATAATGTACACCGTTGCAAGCAGCATCAGGAAAGAGGGACGGGGAGTTGGAGAGCCCTTCCATGTGGGGTATGACTTTCACTCACCTCCCAACAGGCCAGAATTTAGCCACAGCCATGCTTAGCTGCAAGGAAGGCTGGAAGTCAGAGCTGTTATTATGGTCCTCAGTTAATATTGTTTGGATATTGTCTGTGCCCAAGCCTCATGTTGAAATGCAATCCCCAGTGTTGGAGGTGGGGCCTGGTAGAAAGTGTTCGGATTGTGGGGGCAGATCCCTCATGAGTGACTTGCATCATCTCTTTGGTGATAAGTGAGCTCACACTTCAGTTCACATGAGATCTTTTCCTTATAAACCAATGAACCAATTAAACCTCTCTCTTTTTATTTTTAATAAATTACTCAGTCTCAGGTATTTCTTTATAGCAATGCAAGAATGGCTCAATATGCCAGTTAAACATAGAGGCTCTCTTACTGCAGCAGGAGGGAGAACGGGCACAGGGTACAGTGATCAACATCTGCCCCCACATGCCATATCCCCTCCAAGGACAGCCCAATCTCTATTTTCTCCCTCTCACCTGAACTTTTCACATGGGTTGTCCACACTCATTGTCTCTACTTCCTCTTGGTGTTTGTTTTCCACATAGATGAGAATTTGCCAAAGCGTTTTGAAGCAAGGGAGAATTCTTTTTCTCATGTCAGTTGGGTAATGCGCTGACATGTAATAATGTTAGAGGGCCTGCATCTCACTCATAGGGATGAAAACCCAATCCTTATACGTAACAGCAAAAGGATCAGAGAGAATATTACACAAGTTCATTCCTGGAAGGAGGGACTAGGGGTGGGGTGAACTGCTTCAGAAGACCTGGAAGGCAAGGTCCAGGCAGCTAAGTCAAGCCATGGAAGGAGCTGTCATTGTCCAGGAATGGGCTGAGTCAAGGAGCAAACCTGGAGACACAACCAGGAGGCAAACCATGCCGGGGACGGAGAGAATTGGGTCTTGTGTGAAACTGAAGGAAGGAGGAGAGGACACACGTGGTAGGAAGACAGGGCCAGATGAGGGTGGGGGAGGTGGATGGGAGGCAGTGAGGGTGCCTTTTAAATTCCTGATCTCATTCCTTGTGAATGTGGTGATGGGGGCGCCTTTTCACGTAGTGCCAACTGTGTTTTCCCAGAATGGCGTAGCTCCATAAAGTAGACATATACAGAGAAAGACAAAATTCTTTTTTTTCTTCTTTTTTTGAGGTGGAGTCTCACTCTGTCACCCACGCCGGAGTGCAGTGGCACGATCTCGGCTCACTGCAACCTCCGCCTTCCAGGTTCAAGGATTCTCTTGTCTCAGCCTCCCCAGCAGCTGGGACTACAGGCATGCGCCACCACACCCAACTAATTTTTTTGTATTTTTAGTAGAGACTGTATTTCTACTAAACTATATTTCTACTAGACCATGTTTAGTTTCACCATGTTGCCCAGGCTGGTCTCGAACTCTTGAGCTCAAGTGATCTGCCCACCTCGGCCTCCCAAAATGCTGGGATTACAGGCATGAGCCACCACACTCAGCCAACAAAATTCTTATGTGCATCAATTCTTCTCTGCTTAGATCTGTTCATACTTATGGTGTTTATTGGGTAGCCCATGCCTGGTACATTGCAGATGAAACTTATGAAATCTTTGAAAATATAGCCTTTGATATCAATGCAAAGCACATGTTAAGGTAAGTGTGGATAATTTCTGAGTCAGACTGCCAGGGATCAAATCCTGGCTTCTATACGAATTAGCTCTGTGGCTTTGGGCAAGTGACTTAGTCCCTCTGTTCCTAATTCATAAAGTGGGGATAATAAAAATACATTTAGTTCCAGTAAGGTTGTTGAAACTAACAGAAAATCCAATCCAAATGGGCTTAACAGGAAAAGGGAAATTACAGGCTTATGTAACACAAAAGATCTCATGGTAGCACTCAAGTGTGGTTTGATCACGGCTCTGGTTCAGTTCCTCTGAGATTTCCTTTGACTTTGATCATAGTAGCAAATTGGGTAGGAACACGGACTCCCCTTTGCACAGCCCGCCATCTAGGAAAGGATGCTCGCACCCAGAATTCCTAGCGGTGGTTCCAAGACTCACTGTAGCTGGACTGGAGTGGTGACCACCCACAGAAGATCACCGTGGGCAGGGCTGATGCGCTGAACACAGGGCTGTGCTCCACCCCTGGAGACAGATATGGAACTGGCTTCCCTGGAAACTGCTGGACTCCTCTCAGAAGTCAGAGGCTGCTGGGAAGAAGCAAGGAAAAATGAAAGCATGGGAAGCAAGCTAGAGGAATTGCTACTGACCACAGGTTCTTAGGCGCCCATGCAATAGCAATTGACACAAGGCCAAACAAGTTTCCCAGGCAAGGCTTTATGGGGGCTTGTGTTCCGACACAAGGAAACTAGCCCAGGAGCAAGAGTTCTTGACTGGCCCTACTGAGTGGAGTGCATTTTGGTCGTGAGGAGGGTGACATGCATAATTCGTGAGGTAGGTGAGCCTTACTACCTGTGTGGGATGGAGTGCAGGGTGTGCAGGCATGGTAAGGAATTGTGCTAACACATAAACATTCTGTTGCATGAGCAGAAAATAGCAGGTAAGCCCTCCCCTGGGCAGGGATTTTGGTATTATGATGAGACAAGGGGCAAAGATCATTCTTCTGGTCTTGTGTGCATGCAGGTGGTAGAATTAATTCCCTTGAGTAAGATTTAGGGTGGATGCTGCTTATCTTAGTTTCTTCAAGGTGGCAAGGTCAGCAGGGATGGCGCTAGACTGATTGTGGTGCAAAGTCTGCTAATTGGCAGACATGGAGTAGGGGCCCCATCCCAGTGAGGGCAGAGTCCTATCCCTATGCGGTCTCACAATCTGCTATATCCCTGCATGTTGTTTTGATCCAGGACTCTTCCCCCACCAGTTTTGGCCTTTTGGTGTCCTGAGTTAACCTTAGAAAAGCAAACATAGAGCTAGAGTGTCATAGGAAATTTTGACACACTCACAAAAGAGAAGACATTCTAGATCACAGCAATGCCACGTCTATACTCAGTTCCAAGAACCACATTGTAACCCATATGTGTATTGGTTATGAAACTCTTAAACTCTTTCTCCAGGGCCAGAGTATGACTTTTGTGGGTCCCCATTTTTGCCTTCATGGTCCCTTTCTTCTATAAAAAGCACTAAAAATTATAATTTTGTTACTAAGTTGTACTGACTGAGTTCAAGACATACTATCCACAAATACAGCACGTTGGCCTTTGAGAAAATAGCAGAAACAGGACGGTCACCCTCACCTTCTCCTCACTCTTCTCCCCTGAAGACGGTCTTAAGAGAACGATTTGACCTTCCACCGAAGAAAAACTTCATTCCAGAGATGTGCTTCCTACACCCAAGGAAAGGAATGTCCTTTTCTCTGAAGACACAGGAACATAAAAAAGAATCTAAACAGGCCTTGCTAAGTACTTTCCAGTTTAATGTCATTAGATCATACTTTTTTATCCTCCAATCATACTTCTGCATGGCTGTCTAGAAAATACAGTTTTCCCAGTTTTGTTTTTGTTTTTGTTTTTTTTTGAGACAGAGTTTTGCTCTTGTTGCCTAGGCTGGAGTGCACTGCCTCACTGCAACCTCCGCCTCCCAGGTTTCTCCTGCCTCAGTCTCCCAAGTAGCTGGGCTTACAGGCATGCATCACCATGCTCGGCTAATTTTGTATTTTTAGCAGAGATGGGGTTCTTCATGTTGGCCAGGCTGGTCTCGAACTCCTGACCTCAAGTCATCTGCCTGCCTCAGCCTCCCCAAGTGCTGGGATTACAGGTGTGAACCACCATGCCCGGCCTACCCTCCAAAGTAGCTGGGACTACAGGTGTGCACCATTGCACCTGGCCAATTTTTAAAATTTTTAGTAGAGATGAGGTCTGGCTGTTTTACCTGGTTAGTCTTGAACTCCTGGGCTCAAGTGATCCTCCTGCCTTGGCCCCCCAAAGTGCTGGGATTGCAGGCATGAGCCACTGCACCCAGCCCAAATAAAATGTATATTAAATAAATCTGTGTACTTTTCTCTTGTTAATTTGTCTTTTATTATAGGTGCCTTAGCCATGAACCTTGTGATGGGTGAGAAATCTTTCTCCCCTACAGTATGTCTGTATTAACATTATATATTAAAATATTGTCTTCTAGTTTAAACAAAGAAATCAAAGCATTTTCATGGGCCGCCAAAAATACCATGAGCTCTGGGCTCTGCACCGGCTGTGCCTGATGGATAGGTCTGCCCTGCCTTTATTCTCAATGCATCACAGGAGAAAAAGTTTCGATGGGCACCTTGCCAAGAATTTCATCTTCTTTATGTTGCCTACGGCATTTTCTGACCAGCTTTCCTGGAGCTCATTCCGCCATGTGGCTTATGAAAACTGCAAGTCATATAATGTTTACCTGACGGAATGGGAATCCAGATCTCCATCAGGCTACAGGCAGGATGGAGGCCTGCAGAGATGACCTGAAAATAAGTAGGTGGACTCCCAAAAGAGTGGAAAGGAAAGTGTTCTGTGCAGCATCCAGACATTGAAGCTGTCCTGTCAGTGAACGAGGAAAGAGGAAGAATCCCAAAATGATCCCAACAGCCTGCACGCCTTCCTTCCTTCTGTTAAGTTTCTATAATCTTGAGTAGGTTCATCCTTTTATAAAAAGCTTATGGGCAGGCATGGTGGCTCACGCCTGTAATCCCAGAACTTTGGGAGGACAAGGCAGGTGGATCCCTTGAGCCCAGGAGCTTGAGAGCAGCCTGGGCAACAAAGCGAGACTCTCTTAAAAAAAAAAAAGTTTAGCCAGTCTGGGCAAGTTAGGTTATGCTGTGGTAACAAATGATGCCAAAATCTCAGTGCTTAAAACCACAAAGATTGGCCAGGCACGATGGCTCACACCTGTAATCCCAGCACTTTGGGAGGCCGAGGCGGGTGGATCAACTGAGGTCAGGAGTTCGAGACCAGCCTGGTCAACATGCCAAAACTTCATGTCTACTAAAAATGCAAAAATTAGCTGGGCATAGTGGCAGGCGCCTGTAATCCCAGCTACTCAGGAGGCTGAGGCAGGAGAATTGTTTGTTTGAACCCAGGAGGTCGAGGTTGCAGTGAGCCGAGACTGCGTCACTGCCCTCCAGCCTGGGTGACAGAAGCAAAACTCTGTCTCAAAAAACAAAAACAAAAACAAAACAAAGGTTTATTTGTATCCATTCTACATGTCCTTCTTGGGGTGGCTAGGGGCTGTCCTCCATGTCCTCCTCACTCAGGGACCCTAGTGGATGGAATGGGGCCATCTGGAACCAGACAGAGTAGTGGCAGGAAGACGGAAAATGTGGCAAATTGCAAATTGGCTGGTGAGCTCGCCACTGGGAAGCGACCTGTGTCACTCCCACTTCCTTTTCCTTGGCTTCCAACATGGATTCAGAGGGCAGGGAAGTATGATTCCACCATGCGTCCAGAGAGGCAGAATGAGACTATGGGGGGGGCGGGCAGACTCAATGATTGCTACAGTAATTTTCATCTTTTTTTTTTATTTATCCTTTCATTCTTACAAACTTGCACATGGTAACCAATGGCTCCATTCTAGGGTGAAGGAAACAGCCTGAGTCTGTGCTGTGGCTGGGACAGGAAATGCACCCACCTGCCAAGCTGCTGATGACACCTGGTGGCTGCCAGGAAGCCCCAGACTCCTGAGGGAGGAGCAGTGTCCCTTTTCTCTCACCTCCAGGTGAGAGTTCCCAGCACTGGCCTGGCCTCCTGGGCTGAGCAGGTATGGGGGCAGGGAGGACTTAGGAGTATGAAGGCAAAGGGCTCCCTGGGAGGGAAGAGAAGGTTTCTCCAGAAACGTTCACAGGGTGTGGGATCTTTAGGTAGTACAAAGAATGCAGCCTGGCTGTTTGTTCCCAGCAGGTGACATTGTTTTGTATTGTGATGTGTGGCAATCTAAATGACAAAACACTTTACCGACTCTGTTGGGAAGTGCAGATAATGACGTTGCATCATGTCCATTACATAAGCTATGTGAAGAAAGGCAGATACAAAAATTAGATGACAGGTGACAGTTTGAAAAGAATGGTGTGTGTGTGTGTGTGTGTGTGTGTGTGTGTGTGTTTGTGTATGTGGACGTGTGCGCGCGTGTGCGTGTGTAGCAGTTATGAATTCGTCCACAAACTATATGAGCAAGACGTATTTGATTCCTTTATTTCCTTTTAATCAACTTAATCCTGCCTCTGAGCTCTCACTCATCTGATGAAAATTTCTCCCCAGTTAGTTTTAGGGTTTTCCACTGCCCCGGTTGTGCTGGGGTCCCTCGTCCACAGTTGTAAAACACTGCTGTTCTCCTGTGATTTTTTTTCCTTTTTTTTTCTGAGACAGAGTTTTCCTTTTATGCCCAGGCCAGCTGGAGTGCAGTGGCACAATCTCCACTCACTGCCACCTTGTCTCTGGGTTCAAGCGATTCTCCCACCTCAGCCTCTGAGTAGCTGGGATTACAGGTGCACGCCACCGCACCCGGCTAATTTTTGTATTTTTAGTAGAGACAGGGTTTCACCATGTTGGCCAGGCTAGTCTTGAACTCCTGACCTCAGGCAATTCACCCACCTCAGCCTCCCAAAGTGCTGGGATTACAGGTGTGAGTCACCATGCCTGGCTTTCCTGTGATTTTTCAATTCCACGGATACAATCTTCTTCTACTCCACACAGTCCCTGGAAGCCCCCCATCTGGCTGGGGTACACGGATCAATCTTGGTGGCCGGGAGACTCGATTCCTCAGAGGCGCCTTCTGCAGTGTCACCCCAAAGTTCTGCCGCCCCACCCCCCATTCTCACCTTTCCTTTCTACCTTCTTCCCTAACTCTGTCCCACCTGACCCCTCAGGACACAAAACTCTTGAATGAGTTTAAGGTTTTCAAGAGGAAGAAGTACATCAGCCTTGCTGAAATATTCAAATAAGGGGACACCAGCAACATGGAAACCAGACACTGGAAAATTCCCCCACTGAAACTCCTAGAAATGCTGAGCTTTCCAGAAATAAACAGGAAAAGGAAAAGAGAAGCCAGCAGGTACCAAGTCCAGAGCTAAGACTTTATCCTGCTTGGGGATGCAAGAAGCACTGGCGAATAATGACAGGTAGGCCGAGGGTAATTCTTGAAAAAATTATTTATAAAACTAATTTAGGATATACACAAATGAGATGGGACTAAAATACTGGATAGCAATATATAAGATGGGAGGATGATGACCTGGTTCAAGATTTTAATGCCGTTGAATCGCTTAGGGGAAACTCACCCTAGTACAGTGTGGAAGAGGGCCACACAAAGGTCGTTAGTACCAGGAGGTGGGATGGAAAACAGAGCTCACCTGCAACTTCATTCTTCATAAAGAACCACGATAACATTATGAGATGCTTCCATATATATCTATTTGTATGTGCAGATTTTTTTTCTGACTCTCACTTCATGTGTTATTGTCCATATTTCCCCTCCATCTCCCTTTTCAGATGGAAATCTAGCTTTATCTAACCTCCTTTCCCTGTGGAAGAGGGACACTCAATGTTTATTATTATTATTTTGAGGCAGAGTCTTGCTCTGTCACTCAGGCTGAAGTGCAGTGATGTGATCTTGGCTCACTGCAACCTCCGCCTCCTGGGTTCAAGCAATTTTCGTGCTTCAGCCTCCTGAGTATCTGGGACTACAGGCACGTACCACCTTGCCTGGCTAATTTTTTTTATTTTTAGTTGAGATGGTGTTTCAGTATGTTGGCTAAGCTGCTCTTGAACTCCTAACCTCAGTTGATCTGCACTCCTGGGCCTCCCAAANATGTTTCCAGGCTGGTCTTGAATTCCTGGCCTCAAATGATCTGCCTGCCTCAGCCTCCCAAAGTGCTGTGATTACAGGCATGAGCCACTGCACACAGCCCACATTTATTATTTTAATAATTATTCTACATTTTGAACAGGCATATTTGATGTTATAAAATATAACGTGAATTAATGTCTTTATTCCTCTCCTAAATGATTCAGGTGCTATGGAGGATCTGCAACATGGCTACTGTAACGGAGAAAGAGGTCAGTGGGCCTAGAGCAAAATGTGGCACAGTAGGGAGAATGCTGTCCTTGAACCTGAAGCCTTCCCTCTGTCAGGAACAGCTCTGTGGCTCTGCAACGAGTCACTTTGCCTCTCTGGCAAGTTTCTTCATATGTAAAACAGCAGTGTTGACTATATTATCTCTAATGACTCCAAAAATTTGATACCCTATAGTCTCGCTTTAACCCACCACGGTATTTTGGCTCTTGAATGACAACCCTGAGCCCCTACTCATGATGGATGTTGCACTATCCAGTATGGAGACCACTATGTGCATGTGGCTGTTTAAATTCAAATTAATTTAATGAACTAAAATTAATTTCTCTGTTGCGGTAGCTGTGTTTCAGGTGCTCCACAGCACCTGCAGCCAGTGGCGATGTATAACACAGTGCAGAGTTACAGCACTTCCACCGTTACAGAAAGTTCTACTGGGCAGCTGCTCTAGGGCCTCACCTCTCCAAGTGTGGGCCATGAACCAGCAGCACCACATTACCTAGGAGCCTTTAGAAATGTAGACTCCCAGGCTGGGCATGGTGGCTCATGCTTGTAATCCCAGCACTTGGGGAGTCTGAGGGGGGTGGATCACCTGAGGTGAGGAGTTCGAGATCAGCCTGGCCAACATGGTGAAACCCTGTCTCTACTAAAAATACAAAAATTAGCCAGGTGTGGCAGCAGGTGCCTGTAGTCCTAGCTCGTCAGGAGGCTGAGGCAGGAGAATCGCTTGAGCTTGGGAGGTGGAGGTTGCAGTGAGCCGAAACTGTGCCACTGCACTCCTGCCTGGGCAACAAGAGTGAAACTCTGTCTCAAAAAAAAAAAAAAAGAAAACAAGAAATAAATGTAGACTCTCGGGCCCTACCTCAGATTAGCTGAATCAGAATCTGAATTTTTAACAGGCTCCCCGGTCCCTCCTGCAGGTGGGAGTTTGAGAAGCCCTGCTATAGGGAACATTCTCCACTGAGCAGGTGACTGGGACAGAGTGGTGGTTAGATGTGTGTCCTCGGTCAGATGCAGTGGCTCATGCCTGAAATCCCAGCACTTTGGGATGCTGAGGCTGGAGGATCACTCGAGGCCAGGAGTTCAAGACCAGCCTAGGCAACATAAGGATCCCTCATCTTTACAAAAAATAAACAAAATTAGCTGGGCATGGTAATGTATGCCTGTGGTCCCAGCTACTTGGGAGGCTGAGGCAGGAGGATCGCTTGAGCCTGGACGGTCAAGGATGCAGTGAGCTAAGGTCGTGCCACTGCACTCCAGCCTGGGCAGCAGAGTGAGACCTTGTATCAAAAAAATGTGTAGGCCATGTTCTGTGTACGTGTAGCCTGGCTATCTCTTAGCTGTGTCACATTAGGCAAATTCCTTAACCCTTCTGGGCCCAAGTTTCCTTATTCGGAAAACAGAATCCATCTCATGGTAAAATCTGAGGCCATAACAATATAAAACAATTATCACAGTTCCTCCATAACACACAGTAAGTGCTCTTTAAATGATAGTTTTGTTGTTTTGGGGATCTGTGAGGTTTCAGGTTTCTGCCAGCCCCAAGCTTTCAGAGCCAATGCAGACAACCGGCCAAGAGCGGCTCTCCCTCTTTCTGCCACAGGGTGGCGCTGTGTCACAACGTCCTTTCCTCTCCCGCAGACTTGGAGTTGACTCCCCCGCAGGAAACCAGAATTTGAGATTTCCAACGTGTCTGTTTCCAATTACTAAGCACGACCGGGCAGCCCGGACACCGATCCAAGCATTCATCTGGCAGATAATAGGAAAACAGGCCCCAGCTTTGTATCCAGTTGGAATGCAAAAGTAAGGGTCGAACCAAGAGTTGAATAAGGACTGTGTGAAAGTGGTCACGGAAGCCAGAGACTCCTGTTGGACGGCTGGGGGCAGGGAAGTTTCTGATTTTCTGAGTCAGCTGTGCAATGACTTCTGTTCCTTGTTCCACGTGTTCAGACTACAGCCCTTTGCTGGCCCAGCATGTGTGTGTGTTGGTGAGGGGGTGGGGGTGTGTCTGGGTATGTGTGGGTGTGTGGGTGTGTGTTTGTGTGTATGAGAGAGAGAGAAGGAGAGAGGATTTTTAATTTTTTGACACAAGGTCTCTCTCTGTTGCCCAGGCTGCTGTGCAGTGGTGCAATCACAGCTCACTGCAGTCTGGCCCTCCCTGGCTCAAGCAGTCCTCCCATCTTAGCCTCCTAACTGGGGCCACAGGCGTCTGCCACCATGGCAGGCTAATTTTTTATTTTTGGTAGAGATGGGAGTCTCCCTGTGTTACCCAGGCTAGTCTTAAACTCCTGTGCTCAAGGAATCCTCCCACCTTAGTCTCCCAAAGTGCAAGGATTGCAGGTATGACCCACTGTGCCTGGCTGGGATTTTTTAAGGAGTCAATTTCTAAAGTTTCTCAAACTTGAGCCTACATCAGTCACCTAGGGGGCTTGATTGCTGGGCCCTAGTCCCAGAATTTTCAATTCACTGGGAGGTCTGTCCTGAATGATTTACATTCCAAATAAGTTCCCAGGTGATGCTGAGGCTTCTGATCCAGGGACTGGCCCTCACTACCCTAAACTAAAAAGCTCACCTGGATCAAATTGGATACTCCTAGTTCAAGAGAAGGACATCGCTCCAGAGGAAGTTCCTCCAACCCCTCACCCATGCTGACACCCTCAGCACTCTCAGGAACCTCTTAATGCCCCCTTGGGCCATGTCAGGGGACTTGCCAGCCTGAAATTCCATGTGGACAGGAAAGGTGGCGGTGGGGCCAGAAGCCAGGGTCATTCCCAAGTTATAGTTCCTCTTTCCCTCGAGGCTCTTAATTCATAGCTCTTGCTCTGTCCTGAGAAGGCTGATCAAGACCCTCAAAACCCTGCTTAGTCCCACTTTTGGCACCAAACCTTCAGAGACCACTCTTTTTTGCCTGATGCCACCAGTCCAAAGCAGGGTCACGTCCCCCTAGAAACAGGAGGAAACAGCAGGGGTCTAGATGATTCTGATGGGGGTACTGGACATTTCACAGTGAGGGTGGACAACTCAGATGGGACTCCCACTGGTTGATACGGGCTGATTGGAACACTCATAACCAGAGAGAGTCCCAGGAACAAGGCTAGGTCCTCCTCTGAGTTCCTCGGGCACCAGGGCCTCTGCATGTGTAGCACCGATCACGTACTGCCTGGCCATGAGTCATGAGCTTTTTGCCATTCTTCAAAAAGAGTATGTGGCCCACTCAGGTTGTGCCAGGCTCAGCACCAAGCTTGAATGGGAGCCCACATCCTCACAATGGGGGAAAACACGCAGATGTCGAAGCACATCTCACGGATAAGTAGTGGGCATGTGCATGCAGCTGCCAGGCTCTGGGCCTTCTTTGAGTTCCCCTAAAACCTAGTTTCCTAAGCAATGCAGTGAGGCCCACTGGTGGGCTGTGAATGCATAAGTGAGGCCAGAAGCTTATGGGGTTTTTGTTTTGTTTTGTTTTGTTTTTTTTGAGAGGGAGTCTCTCTCCCATCACAGGCTGGAGTGGCATGATCTTGGTTCACTGCAACCTCTGCCTCCCGGGTTCAAGTGATTCTCCTTCCTCAGCCTCCCAAGTAGCTGGGATTATAGGCATGAGCCACCATGCCTGGCCTTTTTAGTAGAGCCAGGGTTTTGCCATGTTAGCCTGGCTGGTCTTGAACTCTTGACCTCAGGTGATCCTGTCTTGGCCTCCCAAAGTGCTGAGATTATAGGGGTGAGCCACTGTGCCCAGCCCACTGGATGTTTTTATTGCCTGTGTTTCTACCACTTGGGTCCAGGTTCCTGGCTCCATCCAGGGGCCCCACCCTACATCACCAACTTCAGTTCTTTCCCTTTATTAGGAAAAAGATTCAGCTGTCTCCCAAATTCCACCCCCAAACTCTGGAACTGGGGAAAGCTTACATAGTTTATATTGTAAAGGTCAAGGAATACCAGTAAAGCCATTTTTTAAAAAATGCTTTCTTAGTGAAGCTAGTACTGCAAAATGGTGCAACTACTTTGAAAACAGTTATGCGGTTTCTTAAAATGATAAATATACGCCCACTGTATAACCCAGCCATTCCACTCCTAGGTATTTACTGTATTTACCCGAGATAATATATGCCCATAGAAAGGCTTGGACATGAATGTTCATAGCAGCTTTACTAGTAATGGCTAAAAATTGAAAACAACCCAAATGTCCACCAAGTGAATGGATAAACAAATTGAGGTGTTTCCATTCCATGAAATACTCTCAGAAATTAGAAAGGAATGAATTATTGATACATTCAATGATATGGATGAATTGCAGACTCACCACACTGAGTGAAAGAAGCAATAAAAGGAATACACACTGTATGATTCCATTCAGACAAAATTCTAGAAAATGGGCCAAGTGTGCTGGTGTGCACCTGTGGTCCCAGCTACTTGAGAGGCAGAAGCAGGAGAATCACTTGAGCCCAGGAGGTTGAG